TCCTCTCCTCTCCTCTCTTAAAAATTAAGTCCCATAGCCGAAAACAAAAGGGATTAAGTAGGCCACACCGTAGATTTAACTGGAGCCAGTCACCTGCTCCCAGGACTGCAGAGAGGAGCCAGAAGAATTAGCTCTTATCCGCTCCTCCATCTGCCCCACTCCATGCAAGTGGAAGACAGGGAAGAAGAGAGAGGTGAACTTTTGGGAAAATTAGTGCTCAAGAAAAGAGGTGATCCCCTCTTTTCCCTATGAGGGGAGACTACACCCTGAAAAGGTGGGAAGCATTTGCAGGAAAGAAGGCTGACATCACATTTTTGAGTTGAATGTCTGTTCAGCTTACTGCCCTGACCTGCTGCTACCCAGGAGAGGAAGAAGCATTAAGGAGTGATGGTAAGGACCACCCTCTTGAGTTCCCCATCAATTAGAAGATGGATTTTGGCTGTTCCCAAAGGATCTGTTTTGGATTTAGAACCTACAGAAGGGGAGCAGAATTTGTCACCCCAAATTTGCCTCTTTGGCATAAAGATTATTTTAGGCTGATTATTTTTGAGAAACAGCAGACAAAGGAGAAGGTCTGAAAACCCAAATAGAAAGAAGTTACCCTTTTGTAAGAGCCATTTATATTCATAAGGGAAATCTCCATTTGTAAAGATGGCTCCCTCTCTCTACCAGGAAGAGGAGGAATAAATCTCTAGAAACTCTCATCACTGGAGAAGGCAAGGACTTAAATCTGTATAACAGCCTGACTGGTTTACTGAGCTTTTCCTGGTCACCTCCCAGAAATGCCACCCACCAACATCTTCTTTTGTCTTTAGCTGGAGATGGTATGAAAGGTGATGGTTTGGGCTATTTTGGGAGTTCCTCAGTTTTCTTGGGTCTCTCCCATGTATACAGGAGGGATGCATGCTTTTAAACTTCTGTTTGCTTTTCTCCTATTATCCTGCCTTTGATTAGAGGGAGCCTCAGCCAAGAAGCTAGAACGGTAGAGATAAAATTATTTTTTCCTCCTTTACCCTACTCAGCAAGATCTGTTGAGATCCTCACCATCCACATCTGTCCATGTTCCGCCTTTAAAGATTTGATTACATTAGTAATTATGACCAAAAAGGTGAGAAGCATATCTTGCTGGATAAAGAGACAACTTTTCCTCTCCTCCCTATCCTCACACCAGGGGGATAGCTGTGGGGGAAAGGCAGGGGAATCAGAGAGCCACAAGGTAATAAAGAGAAGAGCTTCAAACATGTAAGAGAGTGAAGTTGTAACAAGACTGCTTCAAAAACTGGAATGAGATCATTCTAATGAGTAAAAGTTATTAAGAAATATAAAAATAAGACTTTCAAGGGAATTGCTAGAGCACATTTGGTGGCAGTTACTCCAAAATGAAAATGATTTCACATTTGTACCCTGACATGTTGAAATTTTCATTTAAAAAACCATACTTGAACACTCTACTACCATAATGCATAGGCTATTATTTCCAGTGATGTTTCTTTTTTCTTAAGCGAGAACTTAGACTTCAGTCAAGCGCTCTCAGTAAAGCTCCCTTTCAGAGCTTCATCTTTTACTTTCCTTCCACCCATGTCTAATCTGACAGCAATTTTAAAGCAATTTGCATTGATTGATTCTTTCCAAAGGGAGTTGAGTTTTCATAACAACAGTGTTCTTTTTACACTCACCCATAGGTTTACGTAATATTTAGTTCAATCACAGAATTAGGAAAACAGATAAAACTGGCATAAAGAAGTTTGGAAGCCAACATAACTGATTCTTGGAAGGCATGCAGGCCAAATGGCGCATGCAGAAGAGGACCTGTTCCCCAACCGCTCTTCATGTCTTGATCCTCCTGTCATACTGACTGGCCTACAGGACAGAGGGTGTTCACAGCTAGTAGGTTTCTCATGCATATTTTAAAGCTATGAGAGAAATACAAATTGGTAGTCACAAAGTAGTCACGGGGATGTAAAGTACAGCATAAGGAATATCATCATTAATGTTGCAACAGCTATGTATAGTGCCAGGTGGGTACTAAACTAATGGGGGAATCACTGCATAAATTATATAAATGTCTAATCGCTGTGCTGTACACCTGGAACTAATAGAAAATAATGTTGAATGTCAACTAAAACTGAAATAATTAATTAATTAAAAAAATAAAGCTGTGAGAGGAAATATTTTGAACTCCATTGGGGTTAGTTCAGGTAAATGTAAACTTTTTAAAATTGAAATATCATCACTATTACTGCTTGAGAAGAATGCTTATTTGATACAAAATTACTCACTTCTGAGGATCACCAAGGTAAAATAAATAAAATCTCCCTGAATGCGAGCAGGAGGAAACAATGCCATTCCTCTCAGAGCACAAGAAAAGAACTCCATCCCTCTCCAGAGATGCTTTCAATATCACCCACCTGTTCTCAACTGCATTTTCTATGGATTTCAAGCCCCAGTTTAATCAACCTTGTGCAGTATGCAATAATATATGCATATTAATGTCTAATTTTGTCTGCATTGATCTCTCTAGTAAAGAAAGCTGATATAAAGAGAATATATTCAGATGTATGACTATTATTTCTAGTCCCCATTCAATAGTTTCCTCATTAGAGCTATTATGTTAATTTCACCTAGAATAGCTGTTTATTGTCTCTAGGAACCTGTTGTTATTCTTCCCCAATTCCAATTCTGTTGGAGTGACAGAAATCTAATCTCAGTTAATTCACGAGTTTTCTCTAAAGCACACTTTTTCTAGGATGGAAGGTTCTTAAATATTACCAAGGAGATGGAAATAGAAAGAATCTGATCCTGAAGTTTCTTTGTCCTGACTTTTTCTCATCCAGCGGATGTGTTACTTGTGGCTCAGTGTTTGGAACATGGGGATTATTTTGCTCCATTCTCACTTCACTCAGCCACAGAGATGGCACCTGCCTGTGAGGCTGCTGGGGCACCACCTGCCTGGACTCAGCATGGATTCATTTCCTGTCGGCACCAGGAGGGCTGGTTGCTCTTGGATCCATCAACGCCTATACTCTTACCACTTCTCTTCTGCCTCCCTTTCCACAATCCAGAGAAATCTTTTTAAGTCTTTGCTGGAAGTCTCATTACCCTCAAATCTTCAGTTCTCACTAATGATGTTCTCAAAACTTTTATTCCTATGTCTTGAGAGTATAAGCTTTTGAAACACAAATCTAAGAAGAAATTTGAATGTTTGTTGATTTCTCCCTTGCTACCTCTTCCCTGAGAATGAGCAGAGACCAGCTATCTCCCTGAATGAGTTGATGGTGGAAAGGAGGGTGAAAAAAGGGGGAAATAGCTGGAAGATAAAGAATATACGAGGGGCTGGCCGAGTAGCACGATGGTTAAGAACTGGCTTGGGACGCCAGAGGGCCCCGGTTCAGATCCCACATATGAGGGCCAGTGACACTGCCCTCCACAGCTAAGATNTGATCTGCCTTGCCCAGGAAGAGTGCAATGATGGTGCCAACTTGGGCCAGTGAAGCAACGTCCTCCACAACTAGACTGAAGAACAAAAGGACAGCAACATGTCTGTTCCCATCTCCCAATTCCCCAATAAAAATCTTAAAAAAAAAAAAAAGCAGAAACATTTGTTGAATGAATGCATGCTGCGAAAACCAAGTGACTTAAAGTGGCTCCTAGTAATCCCAGACATTATATGTACTAGGAGAAATAGGCTCTTTATATACTGGCCTTAAATGGTAGAAATGTGTTTCCCTTATGGGTCACTAAAGATGTCTTGTTCTAGCTAATTTTCTTGGTGGTTTCCATTCTTTTAGGATCGTCTTGGACAATGAAGTTTTTCTGACATTTTTAAAGTTGGTATCCATAAGAATCACGTATGCAGGTTCTCAGATGCTCATCTTCTGAGATTCCTGTTCAGGAGCCTGGACTGTAAGAAAGATTTCAGGAGATTGTGATGCCGTTGCCTGTAAATCATATTTTAAGAGACTCTATTATTGGGTATAGGTAGGCACACTAATCCTTAGGGTTTCACCAAAGTCTTTGTGAGTAAAACTCTCTAAGTTGAAAATACATACTATTGGCTTGAGAATCATTTTGAAAATAGAAATTAAATGTCAAAAGCACAAGTCATCATTTATGCAAAGTGGCTTTGCAGTTATAAGAAGCTGTGATAAGCAGGGCTTCTGAAATATGTGAGATGATACAAGGTTAACAGTGATTAATAAAGATTTAAGAGAGGCTGGAATCAATAGGTCAGTTATAATGGTTATTCTAGTCATTGTTACTGAGTTAGCATATGATTTACTGTTATTAGATCAATAAGGATGAAGAGAGTCTTTAAATGTTTAGACAAGTGTGTATGTGAAAAAAATGTTAAAACAAAGGACCAGCTAAAGAAAAAATTCAATAGAAATCATTTATTCAAGGACAGTTTTTCCCAGAGATTTTATTGGGTTGCTGTGATTGCAATGGTCTTGAAAGCAACAAGTTATAACTCAAAAGTGAGCTTGAAGCTTCTTACTTGTTAATATATTGTGTTCCTATGTTTATAAATGCATTTTACGAGTAAGATTAACAGTTGGTGAATAATACATTTTCTAAAAACAAACAAACAAAAAAACACTGATGATTTGCATTGAAAAAAATCTTTCTCATTGAAAGCGATCCGATTTATTTCACAATATAGACTCAGTGAAGACAACAGGTCAGAACACGTTGAAAGAATGGGCTAGACTGGCTTGAGAAACAATTTATAATCTCTGTTCTAGATTCTCGTACGGCTTAAAAAAAGTTTTTGTATAATAGGGCTGTGAAGGGGACGGAGCGAGCCGGAGGCGGATGGCGGCTGTGGAGGCTCCTCATCTTTGGCGGCAGAGTCGCTGAGGCGGGGACGTGGGTCGGGCGCGTCCGGCGGTAGGAGCAGAGCGGTGGCCGCTCCCAACATGCACAGCCTGGCGACGGCTGCGCCTGTGCCTACTGCACTGGCTCAGGTGGATCGAGAAAAAATCTATCAGTGGATCAACGAGCTGTCGAGTCCCGAGACAAGGGAGAATGCTTTGCTGGAGCTAAGGAAGAAGCGAGAATCTGTTCCTGACATTGCACCCATGCTGTGGCATTCATTTGGTACTATTGCAGCACTTTTACAGGAAATTGTAAATATTTATCCGCCTATCAACCCACCCACCTTGACAGCACACCAATCTAACAGAATTTGCAGTGCTCTGGCGTTACTGCAATGTGTGGCATCACACCCAGAAACCAGTTCAGCATTTCTTGCAGCACACATCCCACTTTTTTTATACCCCTTTTTGCACACTGTCAGCAAAACGCGTCCCTTTGAATATCTTCGGCTAACCAGTCTTGGAGTTATTGGGGCTCTGGTAAAAACAGATGAGCAGGAAGTAATCAACTTTTTATTGACAACAGAAATTATCCCTTTGTGTTTGCGCATTATGGAATCTGGAAGTGAGCTCTCTAAAACGGTTGCCACATTCATCCTGCAGAAGATCCTCTTAGATGACACCAGTTTGGCTTATATATGTCAAACATATGAGTGTTTCTCCCATGTCGCCATGATCTTGGGTAAGATGGTCCTGCAGCTATCCAAAGAGCCTTCCGCCCTTCTGCTGAAACATGTAGTGAGATGTTGCCTTCGACTCTCAGATAATCCCAGGGCACGTGAAGCGCTCAGGCAGTGCCTCCCTGACCAGCTGAAGAACAGCACCTTTGCCCAGGTGCTAAAAGATGACACCACCACAAAACGTTGGCTTACACAACTGCAGAAGAACCTGCAAGAGGGCCAGGTCACCGATCCCCGGGGCATCCCCCTGCCCCCTCAGTGATCCAACCCCATCCCTTCCCACTACTCACACAAGTTGGGGTAGGGAGGGGGAACCTTCGAGGAAAACAGCTCAGGTTTTATCGGCCGACCAAGAATAGACAACCTCAATGCTGAACTGCACTGGAGAAAAGGGGCAAGGTACCCCTGCTGAGGTGTATGAGATGCCCTCTCAGGCTGCCTTGGGGACCTGGGCTCCCTCTGCTACTCCCAGGAAATGGGCTCCTGACACAGCAGTCTGCCACCACAGCCCCAGGAGGGTGTCAACACCAGCAAATGCTGTATTTGCAGCATGCCCAAGATGACCCTTCTCCCCACTTGTACCTGGCCACTGGCCAGAAGAGGAGACCGTCTTGATAGCAGCAGCACTCTAGGCTTGGTGAACGTCTGGGACCAAGCCATGTGGCATTTTCTTAATTTTGCCTTCCTGGAAGACTCAAGATGTGCTTCTTCATTCTCTCTCTCAGTATTTGTTTACTATGGTTTTTTGTTTTTAATCTTGGAGAGAGGTGTGTTTAGTGGACACAAGCTGTAATATTCAGCAAAACTTTGTCAACTGGCACTGTTTACAAGTCTGTTGTTAGCTGCATAAGCTCAATAAAAAGTTGGTCTGGGCATTACATCCCCGCTAAAAAAAAAATAATAAAGTTTTTGTATTGACTGTTTTAGAGGACAAGTGGTTAGGAATTAAATAACTATGCTGAGACTAATTATGTAAAGGCAGAATCTAAGGAGGTTGTTCAGGAATAGTTGTTTTGAAAAGGTGGCAGTAGCCAGCTGAATTGCAACCTCAGACCTCAAGAAGCAAAAGGGGAGTGCCTTCTATTTGTTTTACATTCAGAACACCATGGGTGATTAACTATTTATAACAAATAAAAGGAAACATAAAACATACATGGCATAAACATGGCATTCACTTGCCAATCCTTTGCTGTAGGGGTCAAGCCCTTTTCCTTCAGCGTAAGTCTGATTGGAATTCCAAGTTGTCTTACTTATGTAAAGGGATGGTGGTAGGTGTTGAGTGGAATCCTCCCCTCCCCTCCCCTCCCCTCCCCTCCC